GAAACCCTGTACAGGGTCGCTATGAGTTGGAACTGACTCCGTGACACATAACAACAACAACATTGTTGAATGCCATCAAGTCGATTACAACTCATAGGGACCCATGTGACAGAGTACAACTAGAACTGCTGCATAGGGTTTTGTTTGGTTTTGTTTTCTGGCTAGTTTTTAAGAGAGCAGATTGCCAGCTCTTCTCCCATGTAGTGCCTGGGTGCGTTCAACCCACGAACTTTTCAGTAAGCAACGTAGTGGTTAACTGTGTTTGCCATCAGGGCTCCTTAATGAATTGCTATAGGTAAAGTTTTAGATCAAGGGAATAAGAAAATGCAAATGAGGCTTTTAGATTCAGAAGGTAGAAATGAACAGGATGAACAGGAAGAACATGTTGAGAAATTCAGTAATACAGGTCTAAGGTAACCAAGAATCTGGATTCTGGGAAAGGCTAAAGTGGAAATGTCATTTATATAAATTTGAGGGAAGAAGAAACTGACAAATAAAATAACTTTAATGGCTACTTCAGATATGAAAAGAAATGCAAGAAAAGAGTCACTGATTATGCCCAAATCTGAAGTTGTCATTTCTCCATGTCAGTAAAAGAAAAAGATCTGAGAGTGATAGAGGATGTCACTGACGCGTGGACATGAGCATCAGATGAGCCTGAATTTACGGCCTGGCTCTGACTCCTAACTTGGTACAATAGTGAATGTCAGTCATTAGCGTTGCTTTAGCTTCTAAACCTCAGTTCTGTGTGGAGGCTCCTTGTCAGGGCTGTTAGGAGAATTCCATGTAGCCTAAGAAAGTCTTAATAGTTACGGATTCAGTGTTGACACTCTTTCTTTCACATGGAACACTCCATCCATCTGATCACTGTAGTTGTTACATTGCCATCTCTTCAAACTGACCTTGCAGTTCAGAGCATTATCCCACAGTGCCACACCAGGACTCTACTGGACACCTGTTAGGCCTCACTTGAAAACAAAACCCCAAATGCACATCTCTATGCTTGCACTAGTACTTCAGTGCAAGCCCACGCCATTTTTCACTTTAATTACAGCAATGATCTCCCAGCTTCCAGTCTTTGGCCCCTTCCCCACAAGTCTTTTAAAACATTTATCAGGTTCTATTATCTTTGTTCTCCAAACACTTCAATGGCTTCTCCTCTTGTAGAATGAGCTCTTCCAAACTATAGCTCCTGGCTACCCATCAATAGAACTTCTTACCTCTCTAAACCTGCTGTGTTCTGTGATATTGACTTCCCTGCTGATTCGGAAATATGCCTTGCCCTAGCACTTTTGCACTTGCTCCCTCTACCCAAAACATTAATTCCTCACATAGCTGTGGCTCACTCTGTCACTTAATTCATTCCAGTCTCTTCGGAGAGGCCTTCCCTCATATCCTAACTTGCATACCAACCTCCTCTACAAGTTGACTTCTTTCCCTTCCCTTTCCTTTAATTCAAAATACTCATCTGCTCCTGACTTTACATTCTGTATCTGTTTATTGCCCAGTTCCTCTATTAGAATACAAGCTTTTTGAAGGCAGTGACTTCATCCAATTTGCTTACTTCTGCATCCTAAGTTCAAAGTGGGCACTTAATAAATACTGATTAAGTGACCTAATATCATTACGATTATGGAGTCCTGGTGTGGTGTTATAGAATAGGCACTGGACTGCTCACCACAAGGTTGGTGGTTCACCCACCAGCTGCTCCTCAGAACCCTAAACAGGGTCACTATGAGTTGGAAATGACTCAACAGCACTTAACTACGACAACCACAACAGCATCATTATTATTATTTTATGAGCAAGTTGGATTACTAGATAATGTGAGTCACAATCTGGAACTCTTGAACTCAAAGAGATCTTTGAAGGTAGCAGTTTTCTACATTTATAATGGTCTAGGATTCCTTGTGTGGGACTGTAGGATAAACACTGAACTGTTTAACCATGAGGTCAGCAGTTCAAACCTACCAGCCACTCCTCCAGAATCTTATACAGGGTCATTATGAGTCGGAACTGACTCGACGGCACTTAACAAGTCAGACTCTGAGCTCAAGAACAGGGCCTTTGGTCATACTCCCTTCATAGACATATCCCTAGAATCTGGGGTAATTCCTGAAATATGACAGTCCTTCAAAAAGTTTGTGGAAAAATTGCATTATCCTTTAATTCCAATTTTCCATGAATTTTTGAAAGTGTCCTCAAACACTGAGCGCTTAATAGATGTATCTATATTGATGTGGCTCTGTGGGCTAATGCGTCAGACTGCAAAGTTGTTTGAACTGCAAGGTCGGTGGTTCAAGCTTACCAGCTGCTCCTTGGAAACCCTCTACAGGGTCGCTATGGGTCGGAATTGACTTGATGGCACTTAACAACAACAACAGCAACATATTGCAACTAATTAGCATGGAGTTGGAAATGTGGGGAAAAGGAAGCACTCAAAACAATGTCTCATGAGATGGCTTGACACAGTAGCTGCAACCCTGAGCTCATACCTAGCAATGATTGGGAGGGTGATGTAGCATCAGGAAGTGCTTCATTCTGCCATAATAAAAACATGGCTGTTAAGGTCCTTGAGGGTCATGGACAATTAAGTGCTGGGCTGCTAGTTCAAGCTTGGTGGTTTGAACCCACCAAGACACACACCTTGGAAGACAAGTCAATTCATCTACTTCCTAAGTCATAGCCATGAAAACGCCAACATACAGGGGTTGCTATGAGTTAGAATGGACTTAGGGGCAGCTGTTTTTATGGATGTTAATGGCTTAGGCTGGAGGGCCTTTTTGACTGGCCGTTGAGATGTCTCTGACTCATGGTAATCATACACATAACAGAATGAAATATTGCTCGTCCCTGTGCCATATTCATGACTGATGGTGGTATCTTTGAGGCCATTGTTCCCATTTCATCTCATGGAAGACAGCAGTTCTCCAGGAGCTGTTACAATGCTCCTTCGTGACTAACAGTTCTACTTGGACACACTTAGGTCTACTTGATGGCAAGCAGTGGTCTCACCAACAATTTATCAGCCCTGAGTCCTGGTGTGACGCTATAGAATAAGCACTGGACTGCTAACCTCAAAGTCAGTTCAAACCCCCAGGCACTCCTTGTAAACCCTATGCAGGATTGTGATGAGTTGGAACTAACTCGACAACTGATAACAACAAGAAGCAGCTTTAGGAGTCCCTGAGTGTGCACGTGCAGTTAATGTACTGTGTACTGCTAACCAAAAGGTTGGAAGTTCGAGTCCATCCAGCAGTGCTTTGAAAGAAAGGTCTGGTGATCTACTTCTAGATATCAGACAATAGAAACCCCTGTGGATTACAGTAGTCTGATCTGCAACCAATCAAAGGTTCTAACAATAACAAGAAAGATTAACAAATGTGCACTTAAGCTTCGTATTAAGGTAATTCACTGTTTTGATCATTTTCCTGTTCTGCATTGTCTCCACCTTTTTTTAATCTTACTGGAGCCCTGGTGTAGCATTGAAGGATAAGCACTGGAATGTTAACCACAAAGTTGGCAGATCAAACCCACCAGCTGTTCCTTGGAAATGCTATATTGCTGTTGTTAAGTGCCATGGAGTTGGTGCCGACCCATAACGACCCTGTATAGGGTTTCCTAGGAGCGGCTGGTGAACTTGAACCGCCGACCTTGTTGTTTAAACTGACTTTGCAGTCCAGCACATTAACCCACAGCGCCACACAACTGGTAGAAACATTAAAGTAAAAACATTTTAAAAGTTAATATTGCATTTTTAGAAATCCCGTGATCTCCAGGGATCTGGGTGCGGTCGCCCTCTCCCGCTGTGGACAGACACAGGGCGGAAGTGTCCCTGTCCAACTGAAGTTTTTCTTCTCCCTTCCCCCAACTACCTGCTTGGCACTAAGTCCCACCCTACCCAAGTGGGTTACGTTCAGAACCTAGTTTCTCTGCACCGGGTCGCCTCACTTTCTTTTGGAGTCACTCAAGAAAACACAACAGTCCTCATAAAGTAATATCACTTATCTCCCTTCTTCCCTGTGTTTCCTGTTTCTATCCCTTCTTTCGTAAGCCTACAGAACTTTGTCCTTGGGTACATACTGTCCTTTGGATCTAAAATGGTTGATTATTCTAAAGAGCGTGTACGTCCTTACTATTTGTGCTCCCCTTAGAGACCTGCATGAATTATTGAATGGGAACCTAATCTGCTATGTAAACCTTCACCCAATTCACAGTAAGTGTTTTCAGTAAAAAAGAAAGAAAACAAGTCACAGGCCACCAAGTACCCGGAAGCAACACCTCCCCTCCGCTTCCCTTAGGGCTCAGGCGCGCATGCGCGAGAAGGGAGCACGGGCGTGGGGAGAGAGGAGACTGTGCGGCGGTTGGATGACAAAGGTCACGCCCACAACGTAACGTCCCTGCGCATGCTCTGAGTGCTAGCTTCTAGTATTTTAGACCGCGTTTGGGCGTTTTGCGCTGAGTTTGCTTCGGGACGCTTTGAGAGAGGTTACAGGTCTTCAGGTAGCTCACTGGTTCTCGAAGCTCGTTTTCGCCCTGAATTCGCGAGGGAAATCGTTTGTTGTTCCTTTTTATCTGTCTTGAGTGAAGTTTCGACGGCTTGTGGTAAGTTTTCTAGTGGTGGGGTCGGGCCTGGGGTTATCTCAGGTGTAGGTGACAGGAAAAGTACTCTACTCGACCTGGCGCGAAAAATGGGGTTGGGTGCGCTCGGGAAGGCAAACATTTTGTTTCGGGTCCCCAGAGTCGTAGCTTTAATCCGGGTTTAAAGTTTCAGGGCGCGTTTGTTTCTACAGGGCCCAAGCGCGCCTGCGCCGTCGCTCAGGGTCCGCGCGCGCCGGGCGGGGTCACTTCCGGGAGGCGGGGACAATCCGGGACGCGGTAACCCTCTTCCGGACTGCGCCTTTAATTTAATTATTGCTTTGTTTTTAAGGAGTCCCGGGAGTTTTCGGGAAGCGGTTTCTTCTTCTTGAAGTTGTTTATTCTTCTTGAAGCAGCACGAGATGTCTAATTACGTCAATGACATGTGGCCGGGCTCCCCGCAGAAGGAGCCCCCCTTGACCGACCATTCCAGCCACCTGTCGTCCTCGAGGTCTAGCAGTCCCTCCTCCCGAAGCTCACCGTCCCCCCATAGCTTAACTCGCTCGTCGTCCCGCAGTCGGAGCCGACCCCGTAAAAGAGACAAGTCCAGATCTCGCTCCCGGCGGCGCCACCAGCGGAAGTGCAGGCGCTACTCACGCTCGTACTCCCGGAGCCGCTCGCGCCCCCGCAGCCGCCGCCATCGCCCCCGAGAGCGGCCCCACGAGGCCTCGCGGAGCAGCCGCCGCTCCCCTCGGCGCTCCCCTCCGCGTTACCGGCCTCGCTCCCGCTCGCATTCCCGGGGCCGCTCCAGCCACCGGAGGGCGCACGGCCTCGCCCGGGGGCGGCGTTACTACGGCTTCGGCCGCACCGTGTACCCTGAAGACGACCGCAGCCGCAGGGAGAGGTCCAGGAGCAGGTCGCGGAGCCGAACGCCCTTCCGCTTAACTGAGAAAGGTGGGTTCCTTCCCGAGGACCTAGGCCACGGGTCGCCTTTTATTTTCGGCACAGTAATGCCAGTTGTGAAAAGTTGGCTGATTTTGGGGTGGGATGGGTGGTTACTTCATAATGCAGTTCTTCCTGATCGGATTAAAGGGTCACATCCAAAATGCGAGTGCACGGCCCAGGTGATAGCGACCTGGAGTGGCTGACCAAAGATAGATTTGGCCTATTTTGATAGCGGCTCAATGCTTAACTCAGCGCTTAACTCAACTTTCTTAGGTCTATGTTGTTTAGTGCCTTTCAGTTGTTTCAGGCTCAAATAGCGATCCTGTATGAGGTTTCAGAGGAGTAGCTGGTGAGCTTGAACTACTGCTGCCCTTGTGGCAAGCAGTCCAGTGCTTATGTTAGTTTTACAGCGTTGCACATCTCTGGTTCACTTTAAGATCTAAAAGATCTGTTGTTAGGTGCTATCGAGTGGATTCAGACACCGTGTATAGGGTTTGTGAGAACAACTGGTGACTTTGAATTGCCTACCTTGCAGTCCAATGCTTATCCTACAGTGCCACACCAGGACTCCATAAAAGAAGTTGTTGAGAGCCATCGAGTCAATTCCGACCCATAGCGATCCTGTATAGGGTTTCCAAGGAGCAGCTGGTGAGCCTAACGGGGGAACCTTTCAGTTCAAACAGCTTTGCAGTCTGGCACATTAACCCACAGCGCCACACCAGGACTCCATGATTACATTATATATAATAAAGACTTTTTGTTAAGTGCTGTTGAGTTGGTTCAATTCATAGCTACCCTGTATAGGGTTTCCACAGAACGGCTGGTGAGTTTGAACCCCCAACCTTAAGTTCAAATGGATAAAAAGATTTGTTGGATGATTTCTGGGACAGAAAAAAAGACATTTTGGAACTTTATTGCTATTGGCTCATTAGTTACAGTAATTGTAATTGTTAATGTAAACTGGATATTGGTTAGGAAGACTAAATTTTCACAGTTTTTTTGGTACATTTAAAATGATTTTTAAAAGTATTACCAAAACAAGTTCAGAACTGGAACATAAGGAACACATTGATATTTTTCATAAAAATCGTGTATAATTTATGGTTCTGGGTTTTGGAAACTAATGAATGTCTTTTATCTCTTGTAGATCGAATGGAGCTGTTAGAAATCGCAAAAGCCAATGCAGCGAAAGCTTTAGGAACAGCCAACTTTGACTTGCCAGCTAGTCTCAGAACTGTGCCTGTTTCTAAAGAAACAAACTATGGGACAAGTAATGCTGTGAAGTCTGAGGTAAGTGTTCCATGCTTATTCAAAGGAAATACTCAGTAAATCTACCACCAAGAGGAACTGATTAGCCGTTTTTAGTTTTAGTTTTTTTTTTTTTTTTAAGATTACCTAATATAATTTGCCAGTTTCAAAGTTAGAAAATATTAGAAATGCTGTCATCTGAAAATGGAAAAGTTAAAACTTTGCTTTGGTGATTAACCATCCCAGATTTTCTTGAACTGTTCCTGAAAGTCTATTTCACGAAACCCCTCTTGGGTGCACAAAATCCTGGTTGTCAAAAATAGCAGGCCTGAAAATGTTAGCTAGGCTCTCACACATGGAAATGGGAGAATAATGAACTTTATTTTTATTTTTGCTTGACACAATACTAGTTACTGTCATGCTGTTAATATTATAATTGCTAGTGTCTGTGTTTGAAGATTTTCTAAACTCTAGTCTTTACACTATCTGTAGCTTCCCTTTGCAGCCTTATGTTCCCACAAATTCTGTACTCAGCATACAGTATAGTTTACCTGCTTTATTTCTGTCTTATAGAAATCTTGAATGTGGTCTCCAGACATTGATGAAGAAAATCTGTTGGTAATTGATACATGGGCTAAAGCATCAGATCTTTATTTACATTCACATATGAGAGCTTAGCTTTTGGTTAGTAGATGATATGCATGCTAGAATTTGGGTCAAGTACCATTTGGTTAACGGTTCTAAAACTAACTTTTAAATGGTACGCTTTGTAATAAGGGGGCATCCGTGATGTAGATGTCCCTTTCATAATATATGCAATATATTCCAGATATTTTGAGAGATTACAGAAGAAGAGACCTGCTTCACTTGCAGATAAGTCTATTGTAATTTTTCAGAAATGTTCAGGGTGTGCACTGGCAAATAGTGAAATTCAAAGCTTAAAATGTGTAGCCTTAAAGATTTAGAGGAATTAGCCATTGATGTTCACATTTGTTTTTGATTTATATTGAACTCTAGAGACTGCTCAGGTTTTTTGTAGCTAATAAATTTTTTTATTGTCTGAATCAAAAAGACTGTAGAAACAGTTAACGTTAGGCTTAGATAAGTAAATGCTGTTTAGATTAGGGTCCTAATAGTAGGTTTGCTTGGTATTGTAGACAAATAGTCTCAGTCGAGTTGCTTATCTAGATGGTTAGGTATAAATGCCATACTTAGTTAAAATAAAATAGAAACTGAGTATTTTATGATATGACTTTACTCTTACAAGTAATTTGGAGTAAAGAGGATAAAATTATTTGTATTATGACCAAGAATGCCTTAAGCCTTTCACTAAATTTGTTTTGTTATGGGGAAACCTGAACAGAGTACTTAGGCCAGTATTTACATGGTTAGAGCCTACTTGACTTGTGTATGCAACTTGAATTTGTATACTACTTGTTACACAGTACTTGTAAACCAAGGGCATACTTTTAAAAAATATACTTTCCTTACCTGTCTAGCTGTCGGAAAAGTTAACCAAAGATGGAACTAAAAATCCAAGTGAAAAATCTTCCCAGCAAAGAAGCATAGCTTTTAGCTCTAATGTAGTAAGTACTATCTAAGCATTGGACATTCAAAAAATTCAGAATTTGAGCATACTAGTATTACGCAGGCTTTTATTTCTATTGGAAAGTTTACAGTTTTTTGTCTTTGGTGATCATTTGGGGTGTATTAAGCCTCTTTGTTCCCATTAAAGCACTGTTGTAGAAACAGTCTCAACTTGGTAAAAATGAATACTTTGAAAGTATGTAAGTTTCAACAATTCCATTTCAGGGATGTGAAAGCTGAATAATTTCATCAATTACTAATAGCGTTTCTATTTTTGTGCCACTTTTATAAGTGTCTAATAGTATGGATTCCCATATCTGACATCCACATTGCTTTCAGTAATTTGTTACTCTTGTGTCTATTCCCCTTAATAACATTTTTAAAGGGAACTCATTTTAAAATCAGAACTCTTAATTCCCCTAAATCACAGTATCTCAGACTCAGCTAAGGGCTTCAAAAGTTAAACATCAAAGCTATTAGAACATATATACCCTTGACATACCCAGTGTTCCCATTGGTTTTCTTGAGGAGTTAAGGTTTGATTGTATCGGCTTAATAAATGAGGTCCACACTTTTCATTTTGTTGATATGTCTTAAGTTCTGTTCTTAGATTAAATTATTAAGATTGCTAATGTATGTTTGGGAATTGATACAAGAATTTGTTTTCTTACAGAATTCTGTAGCAAAGACAATACTCGGGAAAGAAGCTAAAGCTACTGGAGAAGAGACTTCGGGATCACCAAAAGTAGATAAGAAGAAAAGTCCTTATGTACTGTGGTTACCTGTGTAAAGAAGAAAACTAATGGCTAAGGTTGTCTGAAACAGCACTTTATCAAAAATTTCTAGCATTATCCCATCCCTTAGAGCCATTTAATGGTAACTTGCAAATAAAACCCCCTACTCAAGAAGATTTTATGTACTTAAATATTTAAATATTAACATTTTACGCGTGTGTTGCAGATGTGAGATAGCACAAGTGGACCAGAGGTTACAAACAGGTGGGAGTCTTGTATATATACTTGTAAATAATTTGTATAATTGTTTAGGAGTGAAATTTATAAGAACATAGTAGCTGAACATTGAACTGTTTTTATTGTGTATATTTGTTAATAAATTGCATTTTTTTTTTAAGTTCTTTTAATCTCCATTTATGTATGTTACCAGGTGTCTTATGTTACCAGGTGGGTAACATGGAAGGCGTCTCAAGTGTGGCCCATGGTTTGATAATGGGCTACACTGGCCATACATGGTGGCTTGTTTAATGATGAAACTCAGAGTCTGTCTCCCTCCTCACCGCTCCACCCCCATTTGAATCAGAATTTAGAAAAGTTGGACTTAAAAAAAATTTATGGGCCACTGGAATAGTGTTGCCCTGGAACAGTAATAAAGGGGCAGGAAACCGAAGTCTGAAAGAAATTGAAGTACCTCATTAAGTTGTAGAATCTGAGGTTTAGTTGTCTTTATTCTGAATGCTTACTAGAAGGTCTCATGTATCATTTTGAAATTCTTGGGCCAGAAAAATGCTACTAGGATAAAAATAGCATTAGACTCTCTTTGTAAGTATGAAAGACGAAGTCTGGCCATCCTGGCTTCCAAGGAGCATTCCAGCTAGACTTCTTCAAACACAGATTTGTTTGTTACTTCGGCAGTCTAAAAGTATCCATGGTACTTTAAGTAACACCATAACTCAAAATGCATCAGTTCTTCTAGTCTTCCAATTTTCACATACATATGAGGCTATAAAAATACTAGGGCTTAGGTCAGGCACACCTTTGTTCTCAAACTGACATGTTTGCTCTTGAACACTTTAAAAGAGGTCTTGTGTAGCAGATTGGTGGCAGTTATGTACCGTGCAGTCAGTTCCAACTCATAGTGATCCTGTGTAGGGTTTCCGAGGCTGTAAATCTTTATGGAAGCAGAAAGCCTCATCTTTCTCCTACGGAACAGCTGGTAGTTTGAGATTAGTAGCCCGACTAGTAAACCACTACTAGAGCTCCTTAGCAAGTTAACTAACGGAAACCTTGACTTTATCTTGATGTTATTTATTGGTCCAGTAGTGAGGATTTCTGTTTTCTTTACATCGAGGTGTGACCCATATCGGAGACTGGTCTTTGATCGTCATCTGTATTTTAAAGTCCTCTTCACTTGGAGCAATTGGAGCAAGCAAGGTTGTATCATCTGTGTATTAATTGGGTCTTCCTCTAGGCCCGATGTCCTATTTTTCTTGATATAATCCAGCTTTAGGATTATTTGCTCAGCATACAGATTGAATATGTGTGCTGAAAGAATACAACTCTGGCACACACCATTTGGTGGTGGTGTTATTTTTGAACAATTGCCTCTTGGTCTATGTACAGGCTCCTCGTGAGCATGATTGATTGTTCCAGAATACTCATTTTCTGCAATGTTGTCCATACATGCAAATCAAAAGTCTTTGCATAGTCACTAAAGCACAGGTAAACGTCACTCTGGTATTCGCTGCTTTTATGCAAGTTCCATCTGACGGCAACAATGATAGAGCCCTCGTTCCATATCCTCTTCTGAATCTGGCTTGAACCTCTGGAAATTCTCTTAACAGTGTATGATTGCCACCATTTTTGTATTGTCTTCAGCAAAATTTTACTTGCATGCAATATTAATGATACTATCCTATGATTTTTGCATTCCATTGGGTCACCTCTCTTTTCTGTGGACACAAATGGACCTCTTCCAGTCAGTTGACCAAATTTCTATGCCTTGTCGGGTAGGTGTCTCCAGTGAGTGCCACCACATCAGTTTATTGAAAAGTTTCAATTTTGTGTTCCATCAATTCCCAGAGGCTTGTTCTTTGCCAATGCCTTCAATGCTAAGGTACTATGGGTGGGTTCAAACTGCCTACTTTACAGGGTAGGAGCATAAACTGCTGCTACCTAGGGACCAATACCCTCTTGTATTACAGAACTTGTGTTATGATCCTAGTTACTCTTCAGCCCAGACCACATCATTCACTGAATCAGCATCCTGCTGTTTGCAGAGTATACAAATGTGCCCAATTACTGTTTCGGCACATTTAGCTTTATAAGACCGTCCTGACTTTGGGTTTTCTGTCCTGTATTTCATAATTATTACTCAAACCTAATCGTCAAAAATTTCTACATTAAAATAAAAAGGTTCTTTGAAATTTTAAATTCTAATAAAGATTTTATTGTTGTTTACATACTTTGATCAAATGCTTTACCTTTTTTCTGAGGGGTATTTGTTGCTTGAAATTTGGCTTATTTACAAAATGCCATAAGAGCACCATTCTCACTCATGTTTGCCTTTGTTAATAGCCATTGATCGAGTTGGTTCCAACTCATAGTGACCTTGTATTATAGGGTTTCCAAGGGCAGCTGGTGAGTTTGAACTGCCGACCTTGTGGTTCACAGTCCAGTGCTGTGAACATCAGGAGTCAGTCCACAGTAGCAGGTAAATGCACTTAAAGGTGTGAAGTAAAGCCTTTGTAATTGGGCTTGACTGACAGGCAAGCACTTGTAAAATGTAACTTCTGGGGAGAGGTAGGTACTGTCACTTAACTACCATAGCTTGTGGGAAAATGATCAATTTAATGCATCCTACCTTTGAAGGCTCCCATATTCAATAGGTCAAGTAACTCTTGACTCAGAATGTTTGTAGCAAATAATTAAAAACCTAGTGAGCTTCATGGCACAGCTTTAAAAAAATTCAAGGCAGATACAGCTTAATGTATATGTAAAAATAAATGCAAACATGAAAATACACAAGGTAATTGTAAAAGCTTAGAATGCTTCTTAATAAAGAGACCTGAAGAGAGGTCTGGTGAAGTGGCACTTGAGTAGCTGTCCCCTCCCTACATAACAGCATTGTGCAAAGAAATGGGCTTCATGACTGAAAATTGGGAGATCAAATTCATACTGAGGACAGTCAATGTGTTACTGGTGGTGCAGTGGTAACTACTCAAAGCACTCAGCATTCAATTGAAAGGTCAATGCCTTGAAGCCGCCACCAGCTGCTCTGCAGCTGTAGCAATCTGCTTCTGTAAAGGGGAAGTTCTGCTTTGTCCTTGTTTTATTGAGCTTCACTATAAGGAGCTCTGGTAGCGTAGTGGTTACGAATCGGGCTGTGAACCTTAAGGTCAGTGGTTCGAAACTACCAGCTGCTCCGCGGGAGAAAGATGAGGCTTTCTACTCCCGTAAAGATTTACACCCTCGGAAACCCTGTACAGGGTCGCTATGGGTC